AAAAAAAAAAAAAAAAAAAAAAGAATAAAAATAAAAACAAAATAAATAAGAAAGATGAATGACAATTCGAAGAGTATAGAAATACATCGTCATCGTGGAAGATTGACAGGCAAAATAATTTGATGGTGATCACAAATATTAATAATTTAAATAAAGAAATTATAAAAAAATGAAAAAAGAAAATGATAATACGTACGTACGAACGAATAAATCTCGACGTGTCTAAAGGAACTAAGAGATTACGCGTTTCTTACATAAGGCATTGGATATCGTTAAATGTTTTTTTTTTTTTAAATTAATAACATAATGATAATATGAAAAGTGTAACGCGATAAAGATATTCCAGTCATAATAATGAAGAGAGAAGAAAGAGAGAGAAAGAGAGAGTTGTTTTACACGCAAAACGAAGAAGTTGCCTGTTAACCGTCCCTTTAAAATAATCAGTAGATCCGGTAAAAAAGAAAACAAAACCTCACGAGGCGAATTTCATCACATTCCCTTCTTTTGTTTGTTTTTCAGCAGTCTGTTCCTCGGAATACTCTTTTTTGGTCCCTGAGGCAAGGAACTATTCTGGCCACCGCCCTCTGAATGCTTTCTAACTGGCCTTTTTTGCTTCTTAATCTTCGATATCCTTTTACCCTTTGGCCCAGATCCTTTGTTAATGTTCTTAGCTCCTGGATTCGGCCTATTAGGATCGCATGTCCCTGGTCCAAGCGCGGTCGCGTCGCGGAAAGCTTTCGTCCAAGCTTTCAGAAACGCCTGATACAATCTTATCACGCCCCAATCTTGGATCAACATCGAAGTCAGGTCGGCTTCCTTCGCCCAATTTGAACTTTCCGTCACTATTTTCGCCGTGTGCGCCGCGGGAACTTGTAACCCTAAGTTTAGAATGGCGGTCTCCACTTCGCACAATACCTATAAACGAGAGATGCCAAATTGTCTTCGATCCATCTTCTCTCCTCCATCGATATCAAAATCGATACAACATACGACAGGGAGTATTTCGTAAAGAGGAATTTTAAAAGCTAAATAGATAGACATTATACGATATAAATTTTCCATACCCTAAGAATCTCATTGTGCATTTGATTGATAATCTCGTTTCTCCTGTCCATCGTGAGGTCAACGTTGATGTTAGATTTCAGGCGGAAAGTTCTGAGATGATGGAACGTGATGGCGAACCTTTGCAGCGAATCGTAGAGATGTGGAAGCGCGCGGTCAGCTTTCTTTCCCTTTTCGAGACACCAAACCTCCCTGAAATACCACTCGAACTCCTTCTCCGGGAGCCAAGGCATTCTGTATTGCCCCTTCAACGAGTACACCTGCAAGTGAAAGTTGAGATATTGTTTCGTCTAAATATTCTTTTTAATACAATTCGCTCCATATTTCTTCGCCTCATTTTTCCTCGAGAAACGAATTTCAATGGAAAAGGACGCCGAATCTCGTCTCGTTGACAATTTCCTATCAACTTTTTTACATCGAGTATAATATCGTTGCACGAGAATTTAAAAAGAGAAATAATAATAATAATAACACAAGATTTCTTTTCTATATCAAAGTTACAGCCAATGATTCGTCAATAACCGACGCGTGTGCAGTAGATTCGAATCATCCACTCTATCCAAATAACGATGGAACGATCGTTGCAACGATGTTAATCGAGGCACGTTAGCGATATACGAAGTACGCGCTACCGCTATTGGTCGAAAAATGTTATTACGCGTGGTGCGTGGCGTGCAACATCGTAACGAATGCAAATTACAGAGCGAGCAGAAAGTAGGATAGACGTTTTGCGCACGTGCGAGTCTCTCCGTGAAAGAGCCGCCCACTCTCTTCTCTCCCCGACGCGGCGCGGTTCAGCGATTAATTACGAATCGCGGTCAGGTCGAACGTGACGCTTTACCTTCGAGTATATCTCGTGCACATCATCCAGATGCTTTCTGAAGTGATTCTGGGCAACGCGGAGCTGCGTCCGCACTCTTTTCAACGTTCTATGCACGCTGTGTCTCTGTGGCATCTTCTTGAACTGCATCGCGACCGGGTTGCCGCATGGTTGCAACCACCGGTCCATGTTGTTCGCGTTGGATACGGCGGTGCGGGGGCCGTAAGCGGGTGCGCTTGAAACCGTGTTCAGGCCCGAGCTCAGCAACGATGCGAGGAACGCGAAGGTAATCGTCTGTCCCACCGGATCTGTAACACACAGCCGAAATCCCTAACGTCAGATCACGCTTTACACGTGGCATGAAAGATGAATGTTGATGAAATTCGATCGCGAGCTCGATGGGAAGGATATATCGTCGGCTCGTGTACCATTATATACGATAAAAGCGCGATATATCGTCGCCGACTCGGAAGGAATGAAAAATCGCCGCATAAGTCGAATGATTTAATTTCCATCTAAATTCAAGCAACGCGCCGCGGTACATCGTTAATAAAAATCTCGTATCGCTTCGATTTTGAAACGCGACACCTCGGAACGTAAATAGCGATCGCATCGATGATGCTAGACGGCTCGATTCGCCGTCCACGCCATTCGTTATTCATTCGTGAATAAAAATTACTGTTTCGATGAAGTACGAGTTCTAAAAAAAGAGAGACGGATTTTGAAAAGATCTCTGAAGATCGGGATGGCGGGGCGATAGCGAGATCGGAAAGGTCGCGTGTCGTCGAGGGTGCGATGGAGAGATCGGAAGGAGAGAAAGAGAGGGGAAAAGGGAGAATCGAGGCTCTTCCGACTTTCACAGTCGGCGTAGCTACACGGGTACACGTAAGTAGGTACCTACCATTGCACCTACGCGCCAATTTAACAGCGACCAATCGTCGCCCCCGCAGTAGGAAATGGGTTGCAAATCGGAGAATCAGGATTTATTGCGCAATTAAACGTCCCAGCTTACGACTTCCTTCGCGATTCCGTATTGAACCGAACTTCACCCCGAGGGCGTGCGGGGGTGATCCCTCCAACGTTTTTACGAGGCCAGACCCCCGCCGGTTAATATATTTCGCACGAGCTTCGTTATCCTTGGATTCCGCCCAGTAAACGCGAAGCCAAGCGTCGATTAAATCTGATTTATCTCGCGTATCGCAAACACCCTTCGGGTAATCGGATAATCGGAAATTCGGATAATCGACGAGGCGTCGTATACGCGCGCGCACACGCGCTTCGCATACACGGTTGGTCCGGGAAAGCTTAATGGAAACTCGAGTCGATATAAATTCGTACGACTGGTTTTTCATCCGATTTATCTACGATTAAGCGAATTTAGGATCGACATCCTTATAAAATGTGCCGACAAAGAACTCGAGGACCACCACGAGGGTAATTAACGGGCGTTAATTGCCCCGTGCGTGCGTGTACATCGAAACGATGCGTGTGTTCAGACGCGAGCTGTCACGGCCGATTCGATACGATCGTTCGTGCAATTCGCACGTCAGTCACGCGTGAACGAACACGCGTCTTAGCGCATTGGTCAGCGACGAGAGCACACGTGTGCCGTTCGATGATGCGCATCTCTCGCCCCGAGACTCGATCTCGCTTTCGTACTTTTCGAATCGGAATCGCCGATTCGTAGAAATCGTCTCCTTTTTCCTTTCTTCTCCCCTTGATCGTAAATCAAACCTACGAACGTAACTGATTCCACGGATTCGCAACGTATTCTCATTATCGGTTAAATCATTAACGTCGATATTTCACTTACCAAGCGTCTAGCGCCAGTGTCTCCCAACAACGTTTTTTCGAATAGCTCGAGATTTTCTTTCGCCACGCGTCACGTTGCTCGCCAACAGCCACGTACGAGGGACGAACGAAGGTTGAAAATGGTGCAATTTTCGCGCGTAAACGATAAGAGATAATACTCCACAACCCCCCTTGGAAGAGATGATGGCGAGGCGCGAGTTGGGAAACACTGTTCCAGGTGGCGAAGCACGCGTCTCGAATCGGGAATCAACCGCACAATCTAGTCAACATTCAATACGGTCAATTAGATTGCGACGACAAGTAAATAAGCGCACAATGTACACCGAGAACACGTTTCGAGGAGCTATCAATCGTGGAAACCGTTGAAAGTTGTATAGTCGAGTTTGCGAACCGACGCGACGTTAAAAGGGAACCGTAAAGTTCTAACGAACGTGACCTTCTGCACGTATTCGAATATGGGCTTAGCTTGACAATAAGTCACGATTCGATTAGCCCGTTGCGACCAGAGCGGAGGGAGCGAGTCGCACGTGTGTATCTTATCGTAAACTCACGCCTCCTCTTCTTCTCCCGGAATTCCTCTCCGCCGTTGATTTCAACCATATATATATATATATATATATATACTCGCACATCGTGGCGTGGGTGTACGGATCCGCTGTTAAAGGTGCAACCCCGTATCGCGTATATACCTGTAACGATCATCCAACCGTATCTCTAATTTCTCTTCGTTTTCGTCTCTCGAATAATTACTCGCACGAATATTACATATAATATCGATTAATTGATCATTCGATCGAATTCGTATGTTTTAACGAGAAGAGGTTTGCGATTTGCGTTCGAGAGAGGCGTTGGAGACGAAAGTCGGGATTTTATATGGTGCACGGGAGATCGGAAACTCGATCGACGAGTTACAACGAGGATGGTAGTATCCGGACGTGGATATCCCGATGATCCGCATTCCGGCCAATGTCGTGTTCGAAAGATTGCTGACCGGGACGTTTAATACGTAGGTTGGATCGGTGTGTCCGTCGATCGGTTCTCAAAGTGGAATCGGCGCCATTCTCGCGATGGATTCCCCGGATGCCAGTAGTCGAGCGATCGGTCGGCCCTCCGGTGATTTGGAGAAAAGAGGCGGAGAAGAGGGTGGATGGTGGAGAGAGAGAGGCCTTTTTTTCCGCGGAGTCGAGGATGAAGATTGTTGGTTTTGCTATACCGGTACAGGCGGTAGTGAATGCCCCGGGGCGGCAAAAGGCGGTTGCTGCCTTTCTCGG